GAGTGACGTCGGTTTGTCCAGGTTTTATATAGAGTCAGTGGTATCCTTATACCTCATTGAAACAATGCTCCATTTTTCTTGAAATTTGCAGAAATTAAAATGTATTTTGTTATGCATACCTCCGTGTCTGGTTTGCCACAGAATACAAGAACGAAGCTGTGAAAAAAAGCTGAAAGCCTATTCTACAAAGACTATTTATTGGTAGGCTACCCCTTAGTTATAGTGATAAATGAATATACTCTATCACAGGCGTGATAAGACTGAGGTCTTATAATCATTCAGGCTGTTGATAGAAAGGTACTCAATGTGTTGAAAAGAGAAAGAAAACAAGAAAACAGTGAGTAGAAGAGGATGAAAATGAATGCCTAGCATGGTCAAGGTAAAGTCTACGAGACCATTTCCAAGCAACCTGATGTTCCTGTGATTACAGTTGGTAATATTATTAAGAATTTTGTTGTCTATGTCATCGTAGCCATTTTCTCTGGACGTGGCTGCCAGAAGAAAACTGAGCACAGATTAAACAGAAGGAGTGCTCAAATGGTGGAAAAAGAACCAAGGACAACTGCAAAACAGATACAAGCTGACCTCGAAGATCAAAGTACAATTATGCAAGACACGTTGCTTTCAAAATAAAAACGAGCTTAGTGGAAGAAGGCCTTACTTCAGAGAAAATTCTGTTTTTTTCTTATTTAAGTGAAAAGGTACAAAGCCATGCTGTAAATACAGGTACAACATGACATGTTCTCAGTCACTGGAACAAACTTTGTTTTCACTTTCTCCTGCATATCCAAATAGCACGATGATGCAGGTTTACAGATCACCAGAACTGACCAATGACTGAGCGTCCTATCAGTTCACCTAACGGCATAGTTGTACCTCTTGTTTTCATTGTAATAAGTCAATGTGAACACCAAATGGGCCAGAACTATCCGATAACGCTGGAACTTTTTAAAAAATTGTCTTTGTTTTTAAAATTGGTCTGAATAAAAGTGACCCACGCCATGAGTGCGAACACAATCTTGTATATCTTGGCACTATACTATTTATCAGTGTGCTTAAAAAAATGACATGAACTGTTGGATTTTGTTATGTTGCTTTAACCTTCAACTGACAAATGGAGAGAGATGTTTTTTGTTGATATTGTACATTAGTGGTGTTTATATCAGAAGGGAGTTCCCTCCATCCTCCCACCCAGATTTAATTATCACAGATTCATTCACTGCTGTCCTTTGTAAAACGAAGGCTCTAGAATAGTTGTGGCGATGCAGTGACATACACCTCTTGCAAGTCATAATAGCCTTCCTTTATCACAGACAGAGAAGCTCAACTCTAGAATATACTGGACACAACACTAAACAACTCTTATAACTCTACTGTCAACTGACCACAAAAGAACAAAAATTCATGCAGCCCAAAGAGAGAGAGAGCGAAATGTGAAAATATACAAACACACAAAACCAGGGGGAATGAGATCTACTCACTGTAGTCTAAATTCAATTCTGATGCCTGCAACACATTCCAAAAAAAGTTGGATCGGTCACATTTCAGGGCCAGTAATGAAGTAAAACAATGAAATGATGATTTTCCACGGCGTGATAAAATTTACAATCAAATCACACAAATAGCTGAGGCAGCTTCCTGCTTTGCCATGTCAGTCAGGATTTCTGACTTCAGCCTTTCAATAGTCTGTGTGCCAGACTTAAATAGTTTCAGACAAGAACACAAACTTACCAAAAAAAGACAATGACATTTTTGGACAATGGCTCTGCTCTGAGCCTGAGGTGACAGAAAAGTGCAAACATAAAACTGAGCGGGGATTTAATTTTGCTCTGTCATTCAGGCTTTGTGCAAATGAAGGTGTGGATTTTTGCATACAAATTGCAAGACTGCTCCCAAAGACTGTCACTTGAGGGCTCTAACTGCACTCACTGAAAGTGGCAACCCTCCTGTTGCTGACCTTCTTGTTTACACCACAAACTACAGCATTGTCAACTGATGATGAAGACATCCATGGACAAAGAAAACACACCAGTTTGAGAGTTTGTTACTTCTCCATCATCATCATCATCATCCAAGTCCCTGAATAATACTTTCAAAAACTGAAACTTAAAGCTGTGACCTAGCTCACAAACTATCAAAGTGATAAAACTTCAGCTGTCAAAGATATGAACTGATTGTTTTCTGAGGCCTCATCTAAAATACAAGGATGCACAAACAATCACAAGATGCTCTTAAATATTTCTGTTAAACTGATCTACAAATACAGCAAAGCACTCATTTCTGACCAGAATGTGCAGTAAAGAGATTGGATGTATGCTGAGGTGCTTACTTGAAAGAAGAGGTATGACATTACAAAGTCATCAAGAACAGGGCTTTCTGATCCCTTGGCGACCCCGTATCGATATGCACGGGATGCACCCCCACTGTACCAGCCAGGAAAGTAGTATCTGTGATGAACAGTAACAAAAACTATGCAGTGAGAACCTGAGGAACATTTTAAACCATGAGAGCAATGAGGATGCCAAACTATTGTATACTACCTAATTCTGAAAAACACATCTTCTGAAGCAGATTCATCAAGCTGGAAGATATGGTTGGGTGAAAACCACAAGCGGTCTCGCTCTCGGAAGAGACCAAAAAGCCTGAAGTACAAAGGTGATATACCTAAAACAGACAAAGAACAAGAATTAACATCAAGATCTTTAAACCTGCACTCCATTTGAATATGTAGCATTTTAATGGATGTCTATACTGTGTTAGCAGCTTGATCAAAATGCACAGTCCATTTATTTTTGTATTTTATTTTTGTATAAATAAAGTGAACAAAAAGTACACTAAACCTCTGGAAATAATGTTAACATAGGGGCAACTCTGAGCACATACTGTAACAGACTACGCCTCAGGACAGACACTGGAAAGCATGTTTCTAGTACCAACACAGCTGAACAAAAGTCCACTACAGATTGTCTTAAAATGTCAGCTGTGTTTAGTTTATCATGAAACCCATAATGTGTGATTCCAACAACATGTAGGTGAGTCTAGTCCTCTCCCTCTATTGACTTTCACACTGTGCCTCTACAAAAACCAGCAAGCAAAGCCAGGCAAAGCTACCAAATAAAGGAAAAGAAAGTCTGACAGATTGAACAAAACATGGAGCCAACAGGTTTTCTGCTGATACACGTCACTGTGGCCTCTTGATAACCATATCTCGGGACCTTTGCCCGGGGTTACAGCAAAACACATGAATGTGGGTGCTTTATGATTTATTAGTACTCACTGCATGCCTTGGCTGCATCTATACACAGCTCCTCAGCCACATAGTCCCCAGGTGGGTAGCTGAGAAAGCTGCAGCCGGCCGCTCCCTGACTGCTATGGTAATAATGCAGCCTCAGAACAGCAGTGGCTGAGCTTGCATCTGGCGTGTCCTGATGGGCGGTCCCATTCTGGTGCACCGTGGGGCATGTGTCAGTCGCTGTGTCCATGGTTGGCAGGAAGGCCATCAACAGCCTTCCAACAGTTACATGCAAAACATCAGGAGAATCAATCTTAGTTTCACTTTTTGTTAGCAAAATGTAATAAATAACATATTATATAAACTGTTATCACAATTCAAGTATTACATAAAGCTGCAGTACAGGGGGACTACTGTCAGGAAAAATGTTATGAAATCTGTAAATCAAATTCAAAACCAGGGTACTCACAGTGAGAGTAAAGACAGTCTGAGAGGTTTCTCTATAAATGGAGGACTGAGATTTTTAGACTTTCTGCATGTCTTTGTCTTTTTAAATACCAGCTTAGTGGCTAGCAAGAACCAAAAGGTTCTCATTAAGTAATTAGGTTTAAATCAACAAAATTCTACATATTTTCCTTATGGGGAAATCTAAGCATTTTGTAATCAGCAGAGGCAAAGCTGAATATTTAAATCCCCTCTCTGAAACAGTTGCCAATCAGCCTAACCCCAAGGCGAAAACTACATAATTTAGAAAAAACATTCAAAACTATTCTAAGAGAAGAGTATTGAAAATGACAACTCAGAAGAGGAATACAAGAAAAACTTTAAATCACTAAATAAACACCAAGGTCAGTCATGTAAATAGAAAAATATGGCACAAATGCAAGTCAACATTAAGCAAGTCATTCTCAAATACTGAGTGCTACAAAGGACAGTTGTGAGGTAAACCACAAACAGGGCTCAGGTGTTACAGGTTTCTGTGGCCAATAAATGGCAGAATCAGATGTACAAAGGTGTTCATTAGTACCACAGGTGCCTCTTCTAAATACTGACTTCACAGGGTGGTGAACACATGCCATAAGTTATGATGCCTTACATTTTTATACTATTCATATTCATTATTTGAGTTCATTTGTATATTAACTCAAATTTGTGAAACATCCAAATGCAAAAAAGAAGCTAATGATGAACATGATTATTTTATTTGTTTCATAATGGTGACTTAAAGTATTAAAAATTAAAATGGGTAGATGATGTATTTATTTTCCATCAACTAGGGCTACAATTATTAATTATTTTCATTAACGACCATCTTGTCTCAAAGTGATGCTGAAAAACTGGTCCATGCATTTGTTACTTCCAGGCTGGACTACTGTAACTCTTTACTATCAGGATGTCCCAATAATTCCCTAAAAAGCCTCCAGTTAATCCAAAATGCTGCAACCAGAGTACTGACAGGAACTAGCAAGAGAGATCATATCTCTCCCATATTAGCTTCTCTCCACTGGCTCCCTGTAAAATTCAGGACAGAATTTAAAATCCTTCTCCTAACATACAAAGCCCTTAATGACAAGGCTGCATCGTATCTTAAAGACCTCGTAGAGCCTTATCATCCTAACAGAGCACTTTGCTCTCAGAGTGCAGGTTTGGGCTGCTGGGGGTCACCCCATGATGATGCTCTCCTCTCCATTACATGCCATCAACTTTACATTTCCTCTCTCCTGTAGTGTGTCCCCTCTCTCTCTCTCTCTCTCTCTCTCTCTCTACCTTTCTGAGGGTAGCCCTGGCCCTGGAGCTCTATGTTTATGATAAGGAGTCACCGCCTGCATCAACTTATCCAGTGTTTGATTGTTTGTTGTGTCATGTTGCTTTTTTCTTTTCTTTTCTCTCTCCTCTATCCATTCACCCCAACTGGTTGAGGCAAAAGGCCGCCTGACCAGAACCAGGGTGTGTTGGAGGTTTCTTCTCTTAAAGGAGTTTTTCCTCCCCGCTGTTGCCAAGTGCTTGCTCAAGGGGGATTTGTTGGGTTTTTCTCTATAATAATAATAATGGCGCTATACAAATAAAACTGAATTGAACTGAAATGAAATAGTTGACATTTTTGCAAGCACATTCATCATTGCAGCTCGTCGATCAAGTACCTGGTTAATCAACTAATCTACTCAGCACCTACTATATATTAGTACTTGCACAGTGTGAGATAACGATGTTTCCAACAGAAAAGTGACCAAGAGGATATGGCACATATGAGATTAGTAGGCTCAGTAAACTTTCATAACACAGAGATACCTCGATATATATTCAAGACCTTCACATATTCTACATGATCAGGTTTATATTTGGACAAAGAAATCCAACTGGACAATTTAGGACTGAATAAAAATGTCAAAACACAGCCCAAGTTATGAGTTATGCTTTTATGGACGCTGCCTGTTGTTGCTGTTATGTTATCACAGCAAATTCAGCACTCACCCAGACGTTTCCATGTCAAGTAACGATGGTAAAATCCCAAATTGACAGCCAGAAACTTAGCCGCAGAACAAACTCACAAAGGCCGTAGTCTATCTGCTACCGTTAGCTACGCTAAAGCTCAAATATATTAACTTAACGCTAGCAGTCTCACACACCCACCTATAAAAGTTACCGTTAACGCTAGCTTACCATATAAACAAAATATGAAAATGCATTTCAATAACTTCACCAGCTAACGCTGGGGGTTCACGGTTCTACTCTTTGAAAAATTAAACCGGACAAAGCTGTCAATGAATTATTAATGACTGTAACCCAATATACTTACTTTAGTAGATACGTTATGTCAGACGTGCAGTTAGCTATCTTGTTGCTAGCTTCCTAGGCCAGCGGTACGATGCCAGGACGATTGAGTGTTTTACAGTTACGGCCAGATACTGCTGGTTCAGTTCCTCATTATCAGTACAACAGACCGAATAAATAACAATTTATTTATGGTCGAAATCCATCTGGAACTATGTAGCTGGCCAACCTGCTACATAAGCTACCTACGGTCAGCCTTGCGTTGCCCATGTCTCTCCGGAGGAACTTGAGCCGTCTATCTTGTCAATCTTTGGACGTAACTTAAGCTAATGTTGGCTAAAACCACGTCGTGCTCGGTTACAAACTGGTCCAGTAATACAGAATTCATCAACAGGCAGTCAACATTTTGTGCTAGAACATGTGGATACAGCTACGACACAAGCTGTATTATTTACATATGCTCAAGTGAACGGCTTTAGCTTTAATTCTAACGAGGTTTGCAACCTAGTTTGTCTGTAGCAGATACACTACAGCACAGCCGAAACCTAAAGTCAGTCAACAAACCAGCCTATCCCACCATACTAATGCAGGCTTAAAGTGCTGTCGGAAACACTAAAATTACACAGAAAAATCACAAAATGTGTCCAAATAACAACAGTAAAATAATGTTTGAGTGGTAGGCCTACGTACATACTATTATTATTTTACATACATTTTACAATACCTACTAATAGCAGCTAATACGGAGGGACAGGCTCTAGATAATCCATTTGACTCATAATATATGTCAAAAAGTGTATAAATAAATAGATTTTGTATGCTGGAATGTGTGAAAATGTGGGCCTACAAAACACATTATAATTAATATTATGGAGCCGACTAAAATGTTATTATTACAAATCAACTTGTATAGAAGGTATACATCCATGAGTTATGAATTTAGAAGTTACGAGGAACCTTTAAGGCAGCATCTTCGATGAATCAGTGCTGTGGTTCGTCAGACAGCAAACCAACGAGCTACATCAAGCCACCGAAACTACAATTAACCGCTAGTGGTATAGTTTACAGCGTGGTTATACAAGACAACACAATATCACAAACACCTTTACAACTTTGCAATGCAATACTAGAGCTTTGGAGCAAGTGGTATTTTAATTAAGATGATGGTAAATTCTTGTTAGCACTGTATCAAAAGGTCACTCATATGTATTTTAAGTGAGGACAGCTTGTAATTTCAGTTAATTTCATTTGTGTGACCTCAGCATGAAGGCAACATGCAAAATTGGTGTTCTCTTATGGTTACAGAAATGAAAATGTTGCAGATTGACCTGTAACTATTTAATTTTATTTTTCTGGAAAAAGGAACAACTGGGTAAATGAATGGTGTACTGGTTAAAAAAAACATGTCCTCCATGTGATGGATAAGCCAAATAAAATTTTCCCTGCAGGGTCCAATCCCCTGTGATGATGACCAGCTGAAGAAACCCACAGTGAAGAAAAGTGAGGAGGACACATGCTGAGTAATGTGGTGTTTTTCCAAGCAATGTAAATACCTTTTTTCCCTATAAAGGTCAGCCCATCAGAGCTCACTGATTGTAGACCTATTACTCCCACTCATATCTCTATAAAACATCTGGAGGGAATAATCAGATGCAGAATAATTATGGTCACCAAACTGCCTCTGAACTCATAGCAGTTTGCCTTGAGGTCTACAAGGGCTCTTGAGTTACCCTCATTATCTTCAGCATGGCTTGTAAGCATCAATGCATATTTACTTACTGTGGCTCCTGCAGAACTTTCAGTTTGATTATACCATATTGCCAAACATGCCATTTCAAAATCATGGACCTTACAGTAATATGCTTAGTCTCCACTCATGAGTAAATACTCCCACAAATTTTGATACATGGTTGTACAGATTTGCTCCTACTCATTAGTGAGGCTGGTTGGTTGACTGGTCTGGAGAGCTCATCCCACAGATGTTGGACAGAGCTGAGGTCAGGGTTCTGTGCAGGCCAGTCAAATTTTTCACACCCAATTGCAAAAACATTTTTTATTCACCTCTTAACCTCTTTTTCTGCATAAGGACATCAATCAGGAAACAGCTGTTTCAAAACCACAAAAGTCACACTCATGGTAGCACTTTGGAAAAGTCAGGAGATCACAAAAGTCATTAGTATACATTGTCTAGGAATCATAAAAATTTTGGCTCAATCCGCAAAGGGAATGTTGTGATCTTTCACTCGAGAGGTGAACACTTTGACCTCCTAGTTGTGTCATATGAAAACATGCGAGATCACCAAAGACATTTACAATTATCCTCCGGGTACCACAAATGTCCCTACAAAATTTCATGGCGATCCATCCAGTAGTTGTTGAGCTATTTCAGCCTAAATTGCCTAACAAACTTTGGCATCCTTAAAGCTATGCAGATAGAAGTATGAATGGCAACACTAATGTTGACCAGCATCCAGTCAAGACCAGTTCCCATAGTGTCAGCAAGCTCCCGGTTTTGGGTCCAAACATGTATGGACAAACAAGGTCACACACAAATATAAGGTGTTTGGGTGATTACATTCATGCCTGCCCAGAGAGATGATGGAAGGAGAAAAATGAAACAATAATAGGTCATGAGAGAGAGGAAATGAAAGCACTGGAGGGAGACAGAGGAAGAAATACCAGTGGAGGAACTGAAAGAACACAAGGGGAAAAAAACAAGGGTGGGGTATTGAAAGAAAGAGAAGTAGGAGAGAGAAAAAAGCCTTGAGATCAGCACAGGAAGCTGTTCAGTGGTCATTTGTCAATGTAGCTGTAGCTTTCCATTTATTGTTAATGTATTTATGCATCTTTATTTGACCCAAACAGCTAGCCTGACTCTGTCTAAAGGTTTGGTCCACTACCAGCACCTCTACAACTTATCAAATCCATGCTTAATGCACAGACGTGAGAGTGGTACTAATCTTCTCATTTTACACTCAACAAGAAAGCAGATAAGCATTTTTCTTTGAAATTGCGAAACTATTCTTTCAAAAATGTACATAATCACTTCATTCTTTTATAATGTTATTTTAAGGACAATTAATATACAATAAGTGGTTTTTGGACAAAAAAGTACCTACTGTAAAGGTGTTTTCTAACAAATCTAACTTTGCTTTCTCTTTATTACTTAAGGAACTTGAAAAACACATTAAAAAGGAAAGTTTGCCCACGGTCTTAAGTGAAAATCACATTCAATTCCAATGTTTAAATACATTTTTAAAATAAAAAATGAGGGTGCCTAGCTGGTGAGAGGATAGACCAGGCACAGTGAGGTAGCCTAACCATCATGGCAATGTGACAGTATACACTCAATGCTTTTCTACCATGCCCCATTCACATGAACACACAAAGGCTTTGTTTGTAGTTTTTCACTACAACTCTGCATCAAGACTTAGGGAATTATTACTTTAAATAGTAATAAAGAGTTTACTTTAAAAAGTAAGAGTGACTGTAAATCTATGGTTCACATTATGATGATTAATCTATGCAATTAATCCATGGTTCACATGTGCCGAGCCCAGGGTGGGGTGGAAGGGTGTATCAGTGTTAGTTTCTCACTAACACTAATAAGGTAACAAAAATAAACCTTTATACCTTTCTATGATTATCATCCTTTATGCCACAATGTGGTGGTGACTGAAAATTGCCCTGCACAGGATTCACCACTAGATGGAGCCAAGTGTACACAACTTGCATGAGGAAAACTGACAGTGCTTTAGAAGAAAAGAAAAGAAAAGAAAAGAAAAAGAAAAAGATGTGGTGAAAGGGAGAAAAATATATGAAAAAAAAACAACAGAGGTCAAGAGACAGAAACATGGAAAGAGCAGATGTAAAAATGTTCTTTTAGTCCCTGGTGGTTTCAACACTCTCCAAAGGCTTTCCATGTCTGGAACTCGCTATATTCACCTCTCTCCCAGCCAAACACACACACACACACACACACACACACACGCACACACAATACCATTTATGCCATTTTCTTTAGCTGGAGGTTTGAGAACAGCAAGTTTTTGAAACAGTGATAAAGAGTTTTCACATAAGAATGAAGCTGGTGCCCTGTTCTCCCACATTATGTCACCCTGTCCGTTCTTGTTGTTGTCAGTCTTTAGGATTTTTTTCCACAGGTTTTATCACTCTGCAAAAGGAACAAAAATACATTTGCCAAAATACAAACCAAAACCAAAATGCTTAAGATATTGCTGAGTGACACTTGGAAGGATTAGACAACTTACTTTGAATTGAGAATGTCATATCTCAGGAAAGGTAATTGTCTGTAGTTCATGATCAATCTAGCAATTAAGGCAAAGGAAAAGAAAAGCAATTTATGGTTGAACTAATTTCTTTCCATATTTTTACTGTTAACAGCAGTCATTTTTAGAGACAGTGATAGTGCTCTTTCTGGCTCTTCCTTGTTGAAACTCTGGTTGTTTGAGAAAAACTTTGACAAATGAAGCTGCAAGACACTTTCTGATTCCAGACTTGTTTCAAGTGTGTATAATAGCAGCAATATGAAACAATTCATCACAAATCACACTGTCGTCTTCCTTAGGAAATTACAGTCAGCTCTGACAAATGACCAAGTTTAGGAAACTGCTGCTTGACCTTATTTTTTCTCAGTGACACCTTATGTCTTTATATTAACTGCAGCATTAAAGATAAAGATAAAGATAAAGACACTTGACTGCACAGACTGGAGTGTATTTGAGGCTGCATCTACATACCTGGATGAACTCAATGACACTGTGACAGCTTACATCAGCTTTTATGAGGATGTGTGGGTGCCCACCAAGACCTTCTCCACATACAACAACAACAAGCCCTGGTTCACAGTCAGATTCAAGCAGCTTCATTGTGCCAAAGAGGAGGCCTACAGAAATGGGGATAGGATCCTGTACAGGCAGGCCAGGAACACATTGACAAGGGAGATCAGAGTAGCAAAGAAGAACTACTCCAAAAAGCTGAAAAGCCAGTTTTCAGCCAATGACCCCTTATCTGTTTGGGAAAGCCTGAAAAACATCACTGGCTACAGGAACCCATACCCCTCTGTTGTGGAAGACCAACTGGCAGACAACCTGAATGTGTTTTACTGTAGGTTTGAGAAGCAGATCGCCACACCCCTCACCCCCTGCTGGACCTCCTGCAGTTTGCCTACCGGACAAACAGGTCAGTGAAATGATGCAGTCAACATGGCACTGCATTACATCCTGCAACACCTCAACTCCCCAGGGACCTATGCATGGGTCCTTTTTGGTGGACTTCAGCTCAGTGTTGACCGCCATTATTCTGGACATCCTCCACTCTAAACTGACCTGGAGCTAAACATGCTCAAAACAGTGGAGATGACAGTAGACTTCAGGAGGAGCGCCCCAGCATTTACTTATCTTTATCAAATGAGCCCAGAGATTAGAAAGTCCAAGACTGAATGCAAATCAAATGAGGCTGATTGTTGCAGAAAACCTTTAAACGATTGAGCGGGGTTTAGCTCATACTTTATACAGTCTATGGTTTAGTTAAATTTAGACTCTAAAGTTC